CCCCCTAGTCCACACAGCAAATAACCAGGTTTTTGACCAACACAACAGAGATTGGAGGCTAGCACGGTCGAAGCAGCCGCACCTAGGCGTGCCGCCAACGCCTGGCTCTGATTCCACACAGTAGGAGTGCCATAAAGACCACATTGACGAATAACCATTGCAGCCTGACTTACAGACCACCAGCCGGCCACTCTACACAAACGCACAACACTGGGCCGACTGCGAGGTCCCGTCAGTTGGCAACCTTCCAAACCACGACTCTTAGCGCATCGTGATAGCTTCAAGCGCGTCAGATTGTATATAGCGAAGAGAATGCGCCGAGTCGTCGACCTCATTTTCCCTCCCCATTACCATGCCTCAGCCCCTGTCCGAGGCGGTCAGCAGACTGGAGCGGGGAATGGGTGCGTTGGCTGACGTGGTCTAATGACCATGTCTGCGTGCGCCACACACGCGACCTGGCCCCCCAAACACAAGCACCAGGATTTCGCACAACGGGTTGTCTCTCACTTGCGTGAGGGTGCCGTGGAAGGTGCTGTTCCAGCCCGCCGCCCAGCCCACCAATCCGCCACTCCACACAACACACGAACAACTGGAACGGACTGTGTGAACCGAGTTGGGGCGTCAGTCAGCAACCTTCCAATCCGCGACGCTTGATGTGTCGAGATAGTGTCAGACTCAAGTCACCCGTGCAGCCGAAGCCGCATGGAGACCGAGTCGAGAAGCACATTTGGTAGCGTCAGGCCGATTGTTCTAGCCATGTGATAGCACCCCTACCTCAAGTTGTACCGTTGTGGTTAACGAAATCCATGGCATATGAAAATTTGCTTTCCCTATATTGACCATTTCATGCCAACGTACGCGTTTCGCTAGCACAGAAATTGTGTTTTGGCCCTGCTTCATGCATGCGGGTAGAGTTTTACAGACCTTTTTCCGGTCGCTTAAAGGAGGTTGATTGTAGAAGATACTTTAAGTGGTATTGAAGCAATAAGGTTCGAAGATCCAGAGTCTTTTGTTTTTACATCTAATGCCAACCATCTTGAACCTACTCAAAATCTCTCACCTATTCCGACGCATTCGTCGAATTCGGCATCAAAACTTCGAGGGTAAAGACAAAGAAGCAGCTTTAGCTGACATAACATGAGGTCTATGTGAGTAAATGACTACTACTCCCTAAGACATGCGTGGAGCGAATATGCGTTACCATATTTGTAATGCAAGCTTGAATACTTGCACAAAATAACCAACCGTCTAACCTCCACCATCCATGCGAACTGCCATTCTGGAAGCTCGTGAAGGGGATGTTGACGGTGGTTCTCGTTGTTTCGAGTAAATTTTCTACCACGTATTTGATCACTCTGAACCACGGCCAAATCAAAAGATAACGCCTCCTGATTCCTAAGAGGTAAGCTCTACATCCCTGAAAATGGCTTGTTGGTCATCTTAGACGGCTGCAGACTTATATTTCGATATAATGAATTAACGACCCAATCTTGTCGGGGCCGCCACAGGACTCCCAGTGTGCGCCACGGCTGCCGGCAACCGGGACTGCCACCGCACTCAGGAATGATGGCATTTGTTGTTGTGTGCAATCCGTTATGGCCCCCATGTTGGTCCAGCACATCTACCACGAGACCCGTTGGGGGGGGGGGGGGGCGCACACGCACACGATAGCTCGACCGCCGTTGCCGACGATGTCCATCGTGTGCTCCACAGCGAGCTGAGAACAGGCACGGCGACTTGCGCGTGATTTAGTTTATAGTGAATGTTAACTGGGGCAGCATCCACCACACTCTCTCCGCCTCCCCCACCTGGACCAGGTGTCAAGACAGAATCAAGAAGACTGGAGGCGGGGGAGGGCACTGGTGAATAGCACGATCGAGCGCACACCCTGATGCTCCACTCTACACCCCCTAGTCCACACAGCAAACGACCAGGATTTTAACCATCGACGCCGGCCGGCAATTGGATCTGCCATCGCACCCCCAAAATGTTGACTTTTGTTATGGTGCGCATTTCGATAACGCTTGCCAGGGTCCGATGTAGCCCTCGTATTGCTCCAGCAGCTGTCCGTACCTGGTCTGTTGCACTCTTAGTGAGTTGCTTAAGTGTTATATGCGTTATTTGTCCTATAGCGCAACGTTAGTTGTCGCCAGAATCAAGTTGGCGGACGGAGAGAATTGGACTGAGTGAGACCCTAATCACAACAGTACAGGGCATACGCTTACTTGGCATGTATTTATAAGTATGTATTTATTGCGTAGACAGCTCATTAAGAGTGCAATCTTAATGAGCTTTCTTACATATTATATGTGGTATGCGTCCTATGGTAAAACGTTTATTACCGCCAGTAGCAATCTGGGGGTTGGACGGAATGTGATCCAGCGAGATCTTAACCACATTATTGAGGGTCACGCGTTACTTGTCTTACTTACTTACTCGAAACCGACAGGGCAACGGGCTCGTGGCCCAGTGGTTAGAGGCTTGGACTTCTAACTAACAGGTCGCGAGTTCGAGCCTCGGATTTTCCACACTTCGGGGTTGGGTATGACTGCTGACGACGGCCACCAAGCCAGAAATGGCTTTTTTAGTCTCCCTTGTCTTTGTCGGCAATACCATACTGCCCATATCATGCGCCGCTGTGCGGCTGCTGGTTGGCCTCGAGAGACAGCCCGTAAGGCGCAACGGAAGGAGTGAGTTCCGTAAGAATGATCGGCGAGCGCCCCCTACCATTCTATATTCCCGATCGGAACGGACAGGACAACGGGCCCGTGGCCCAGTGATAAGAGGCCTTGAATTCTCGCCCCTAAATGTATCTCACTGAGACCTCGTGCCGGACCTACAGTCAGTGCACACCATACAACCTACAAGATAATGCGAATTGCAGTAACTGATTGATCTCACGAAATGTTAATCTCCATAAAAATATTATTCCTTATACTCGTTTGGTACCAGACCATGTCTTCTTATCTTATGAATCTAAAAAGTTTTTTGAGTTCCGATTAATTTTGAACTGAATCTACCGTCACATATGTGTTCAAGCTTCTCAGTCTGCAAGTTGCATACGTTTCTTGTAAGGAGAAGTATAAATCCCTTTATGCCATCAAAAAAATAACAGATGGCTCAAAAATGTTGCGACGGATGTGGACTATATTACACACTAATGAGGAGCATTATTGAACTGACGGATAGGATACAATTCGAATGAACATTTTACGGTCTTAAATGTCTCATAATCAGAAACCTTTTTAAAACCGAAAGAAACCGTTCCTTAGAGCATAACATTTGAACAAAATATGATTTTTTTTACCAAAGAATTACAAAAAATAATGATTTTGTGAATATTTTCTGCAAAACATAGTTAATTTACTAGGGCATCGAAAATCGATAGATAGAACGTATACTATTTAACTAGTATCTTTTTAGCGGATGCGGTTTTTGCAGGTTACCAAAAAGAACTGCGTTCAAAAACCAACACGCTGACGTGTCTGGAATATCACAACAATCTTGCGGCCTCACTTAAGCAGTCCTTCCTAATCGAAAACCCATTTCAGAATTTCGGTTGCCATTTCATCAACTTTCATTTTGGCGGCGAGACTGTCTCAACAAGTCGGCTAACAGTGCCCATATTTGACGTCTGAAGAAGGGCGTGACCCAAGCTGGCCCTGATTGGTCCAATCATGGGGAGAAAATAACGCAGCACACCAATCCATGAAACATAGCCTTTCGAAAATTGGCATCTTATACCTCTTTGCGGGTGCCTTTATGTTGTTAAAAATAGGTCCTTTTAAAACCCAACGAAAGCATCCGCCCTTTCCTCGACTTAGTGTTTTAAAGTCACTTCATTTGTTCACAACGCAAACAACGACTTTATTGTTTATAACTGGTTCATGGTGGGACACTGACCTGGGACGAGTCCAAAAGATTCTGGATTTGTATTTCTGGCTAAGGGAAGAGAGTCCTACTGATTAATGCATATGAAAGGGAAATGCAGGAAAGTGTAGTCAAGTATCTTGAATCCATGTTGTTGTCTGACGGGCAGAATACGGGTGGCATCGTATCCCACGTCAATGTTATTCGACGGTTTCTTTAGGCGGTTATCCCGAAAATCTGAGATTGCTTTTCGTTGATAATTATACTTACCGAACTGTGGGTACGAGCTGGAGGTTTTCAACAACTATTACCTGATAATGTTCCATCCCATACAAGTCAGTCGGCACTTTATGTGATAACACCATAAAGATGACTAGGTCATCTAAAAGCGAAGGTTGGCGGGATTTTAAAACCATCACGTCGTCGCCCGGTGGGTTTAACGCGACGGGAATAGCGAATCAGAGACTGGCTAGACGAGATCAGCCAAAATAAGAACATAATTTATTTGACCTTTATTCGTCGGATGACAGGGTAGTGTAACGTCACCAGACGGGCGACAGTGACAGTAAGTTTACGCAATTCTGTAAAATTATGAGCTCCCATGTACGTCCGCTGCCAACGCACGTCGGTAACTGTGGGTGTCAATCACCATCCTGTCACTACTATCAGTGTCTAACCTCATGCACGCCCTGTCGCCTCTTGCCGACTTCTCTATCCGCAGCATGGCCCTCACACTACCGTGCCAGTCATGCACACCTTTCGGTGCTTGCGACTCGAACTTAATGATAGCTGTCCTTTCAACGAGGGTGTCTCCTCCGGTCCATCGTATCACTCAAAGGTACTCCAACTTAAGTACTGAAAAAATGGCTGTTTCGACGTCTCAAATTCCTTACCGCAAATTCAGACACTACAGTGAGTTCGTCAACACAATTTTTGGAGTAACTTAAAGGAGTAAGTCTCCTGCCAAGCGATGTCATGGTATCCTTTGATGCCATGTCCCTTTTTACTTCTATCCCGCAGGACCTGGCAGTCGAGACCAATGAACTACTCCTACGAGACAAATACGATGAGACAGGGAATCGCCTTGGACACACCCACATCCTCCAACTCCTGAAGTCCTGTCTGAAGACCTACGTTACGTTCGACGGAACGATTGGCGAGCAGATGAGGGGCACGCCATTGGCTTCGCCGATTTCGGGACTCATAGCCGAAGCGGTCCTACAACGGTTGGAGTCGCTGGATTTCCAACGGCGCAGAAAACGTAATTCTGGGCTTGGTATGTTGATGATACCTTCGTCGTCATCAGACGGGATCGGGTAATGGAATTCAAAGAACATCTCAACGCCATCTTCCCGGACATCCAATTTACAATGGAGGAAGAGGAAGACATCCAGTTGGCCTTTCTTGATGTCCTCGTCTGCCGCAAAGATTGTGGTGACCTAAAAACCAAAGTATTCAGGAAGGCGGCAAAAACTACGCAAGTACTGAACTACAACAGCAGCCACTTAATTGGTCACAAACGCAGTTGCGCAAGGACACTATACAAGCGTGTGGAGACACATTGCAGTGAACCGGAAGACAAGGTTGCTGAATTACAATACCTTCGACGGGTATTTAAAGTCAATGGCTACCGGCGCAACTTCGTCAACCAGTGCCTGCGCAAACGAGGCGAGAGACGAAATACAACCGGCCCCAAATTTTGGCGGGTTCTCCCGTACGTGAAGAATGTCTCAGAAGCCGTCAGCCGTCTTCTCACACCCCTTGGAATTGGGATAGCACACAGACCGGAGGCAACTATAAGGCGCCTGATCATGAGGCTGAAAGACCCATCGCCACGGCAAGAAACATCTGGAGTCGTTTATCGTGTCTGGTGCAGCTGTAAAAAAGAAAACTATGTCGGAGAAACCGGGAGGCTACTACGGACGCGTATGACCGAGCACGCAGCAGCAGTGAAGAGGAAAGAAGTTAGCTCCTAAGTTGCTACTCACCCTACGGGACTCAAACACACACAAATTTGACGAATCAGAAATTCTTGCTAGAGGCGACAACCGCGTGAGCCGCGAACTCCTCGAGTCACGGTTTTTCGATCCTCGGTTAATCAACAAGCGCAATGACCTTCCCGCTCCAAATTCGGCGCCGAGACTTTGTCTAGGCAAAGTAATTAACCGCGAGGACAGCGCGCGGAGGACCACTGGTCCTGGCGTCGATATCGGCGAGCCAAAAGGCCAAGAGCCTACACGGAGGACGAAATCCGGACGTCAGCAACTCGACTGCGTGCGATGAGCGTGGGAATCGATAATCTCGACCGGCACACAAGGGCATGGCAACCGCACGGCAACGGCATGCTTCAGCACCTGGCCAGTCGAACCGTGATGCACTCTGGAGCTGCCAACTGCGATAGGCATGTGGCGGCCTAATAACTACATCCTATGAGTACTGCAACACCTGGACAATTTACCACCCTTATCTGACTCTGTTTCTGATGATTGATTCGAGTGAGAATCCGAAACGTCAGGCTAGTAAAGCTCTTGTCCCAGCGATCATGTCTCCTTCTTCGCGTCTACTTCCTGGGACTCGCCTCTTCGCTTCTATTACCGCCTAGATAGTCATTCTTACCGTGTGCTGTTTTTCTAGACGCCAGGTTAGCATTTCATGAGATCGGTCACTGACTGTATATGTTCATTAACATGCTCTCGTTCGAAAGGATGTCAGAAGAACAAAAAATAAATAATGAAATGGGTTGAGTCATTACGACCATGAAACTGATGGTGACTAATACATCCTCATCGATCGTCTTGTCGTCTGCGATCTGCTGTGAAATCTACTGTCCGTTAAGGCGTTTCGGAAGAGCACCAGCACTGTGTCTTGCAATCGGGACAAAGTTGAGAATTTAGATCATGCCCTGAAGAGCTGAACTTGACTTTATCTTGAGGAGCCTGATCCGAGGTCATATAGTAAGTTTCTCCCACCACCATTACCTGCTGCTGAATGGGAGTTCTTGTTATAACTCTAAACCCCCATAACGATGGTCCTAACAAGCCGGTACTTGATCCACCTCCTGTGCGCCAGCAACTGGGATTCAGGGTATTTATGATAGACTGCCGACAATAATCAAAGATGGATTACACGGTGTCTCAGATCCTTCTCAGCAGAAGTTTTAAATGAGTAGAATACATTTGCCTTATCTGTTCGACAACTATAAAGCAACAATTAATTACACCGGAAATGACCAACAATCCGTAACCGATGGAACAGACGCGTGACCTACTGTCGAATCTCAGGTTTATTCAAACCCGGAATTAGGCGTGGCTGGCTAACGACGACCAACAAGTCGGAAAAGGCCTTTTCAGTCCTCCTGGTCTTTTTCGGTACTCCTACATCATTACTGATAGATATGCAACTGCCTGCAAGGACTCTAGTCTGAGCCCCAAGACGCAAGAGCATGAGCGTGCCTCGCAACCAGATCGGTGCGGGCCTCTTTCCACGATTATTCCACAAAAGATACTACATAACGTTCCCTCTCCTTAGGATTTTCTTTTAAAACATGAGGACTCTTTTGTCTTTAGCAAAATTTATTAGTCGCTTTATCTTCCTTGAAACGACACGTTTTTAGGCGGTATGGATGTTTCAACTTCCCAAAAACTGGCAATTAAAATATAGCTGGAGGACGTTTAATTCTTTGTGAGCATCGGTAATAGACAAACGTCTACTCGAATGCACTAGTTTTCAAACAAATGTTCCAAAACGCGCTTGAGTGGCGAATTTTCCAAGCCAAAACTTTCCAACTATTTCAAGTGTAAAAATTTTCAGGATACTTGATTTTCGATAACGAAAAAAAGAAATGCACACGCTCCCGCTAGGTAAATTGGTTCGATCTATCTATCGAAAACCATAACAACAATATATAGTACTTAACCAACGACTTCTTTCCAATGGGACTTGATTCTAGTGGCTGGAAGTATTCTGGATGAAGAGAGTCCAGGCTTTGAAATCGTACCATGACGCTGACAGGAAAACGTGTCCAGGTCTTCTTTTTGGTGGGAAAGTTTGACCAGAAACCTGCCACCCGCCCACTGATTGGTCAATAGCGTGGCCTTACGAAGGTCAGACATGCGCTAGTCGGCGGCGCGCCGCTGCCACCGGCACCAGCCTGCGCCAGCTGCCTGGTAAACGCGCGTTGTCGCTCGCCTGAGGTCGCCCGCTGGTCGGGCGATCAGAAACATGACCTCAGTCGGCGCGCACCAATCCACCCACAGACCTAGAAAATCCTTGACTTCCCAGCACGACTAGCCAGTCACTGCGTTCTCGAATTCACGAAAATCTCACTTCTGATCAAAGGCTAGCTGAATTTGCGCCCAACTGCAATAATGCTGACCCGTTACCATCAGAGGAGGTGCAATGGCCTTTAGTGTTATCACGTAAGTACGCATTGTTTAGGGGCTAGTGAAGGCTGCCGGCCTCATGACTGGAAAGCCTGCATTCGCGAGATGAAATGAGGCCGATTAAGTTATCAGCGTCCGCTCCCGTTTCTCAACTCGCGTTCCCTAGCTTTGTGTGCTTATCAGCCTTCTCCTAGTCTGCAAGGGAGTCATACGTAATCGTTGGCCTTTAGGTAGGGATTGCATACATGCCCTCCCGATAGGAAACAGGAATTAGAACCGCCCGTATTTCAAGTGGCTTTGCGCTAACTTCCAGGAAAATTAGGGTTAGGATTAAGATTAGGCCCACGATTGAGGCTTGGGCTAGGGTTGGTGTTAGGGTTAGGACACGGGAATATTTATCTCTCTCTTTGAATTTAGCACAAAGCCACATGTATTACGTGGGCGGGGCGTTCCTCTATTTTTGAGTCCCGTTCGGCATGCTACACAAGTAATTTCGATCCGCCTTTTATTCCGTTCCATTGTGTCTAATTTTGGGGGATTTTCGATGTCACCTGTTTCTGCGTTAAAGGGTTTCCAGTTCGAATTCGGTGATGTCCTAAGTAAGGAAAAAACAGACACGTTGTGTGAGTCAAGGGAAAGAATTAAGTGGGCTCCATATGTAGTTTGAAAATGACGAAAGAACTAGAAAATGAATCACCAGAAACGGGCGTGCCAGGCCCGACCCAAATCGGTATGCCCATAGTTGAGTTAAGTGCCCATAACTTCGACTGGGAACTGCATTTTTGCACTGGCTAGACTATAGTTAGACCAAAAACCGCAGGGGAGGTCACATGCCGACCCATAGAAGTACCCCGCCTTCGCACTTACAGCATACAGCCAAAGAAGTTGACTAAACCCATGTCCAGCCTTTTAGTTAGTATCTGTTTTGACCGCACGGTAAAACGGTTTCTTGTAAACCAGGAACTTACGTACAGAAAAAGCGACGGTACAGACAGTAGCGCATCAAAGCGTGAATTGAGAAGGACGCATTAACTTTTGAGGACAACTGAACTACGGGAAAAATTGTCCACTCGCTGTCCCAGAAATGAGTATACAAGAAAGCGCTTGCAGTCACTACTCTGGCTTATTTAGTGGGTATCATAGATGTACTAGATGGTTCGCGAATATCCAGCGTGGTTGCAGAACTAGTCTCGCAGGAGCTGAAAAAAGTCGCCTTCGATCACTATGAACCTGCATTTTGGTGCCGGTACGTGGACGACATGTTCGTTATATTTGAAAGGAGCGGACTGGCCGACTTTCAAGACCTGCTTAACGGCATCTTTCCGGACATTCAGTTCACAAGGGAAGAAGAGAATGTCGAACATCTGTCTTTCCTTGACGTTCTCGTCACACATACATCCAACGGCGAACTAAGGATCACGGTGTACAGAAAGGTGACTAACATGACTCAGATTCTCAACTACCATAGTAACTACCCAATGGCGCATAAACTCAGCTGTGTTAGGACACTCTTCCAAAGGGTAAAAACGAACTGCTGTGAGCAAGAGGGACGAGCACTAGAACTACGGCATTTTCGCGACCAACTGGCAAGGAATGGATACCCGAACAGCTTCGTCAGCCGCTGCCTCCACACGCACCCACGACGAACAAACGGAGGAGAGCCGCCAACACTGTGGCACACTCTACCATATATAAATAACGTATCCGAAGCGATGGGACGTATCGCTGGAGAACTCGGCGCGGGTATCGCTCGCCGTCCCTGTCCTCGCCACTACACAGGACAGACCGGACGACGACTTAGCTCACGAATAACGGCGTATAAACGGGCGGTCCGGAGAGGCGATACGCTGTCTCAGGTCGCCACTCACATCCTGGAGGAAGGTCACGAATTCAACTTCGCAAGCACTAGCAATAAGATTGGGCGAGAATTGTCGGAGGCCTGTGTGTCTGACACCAACTCTACCAACAGACACGTTGACATACACCCTCCCCCCTCCCCTGCTATCACTCGCTCCGCCCCCGCGACCAAGAGGTGAGACCAATTTCCAGCCAAGGGTGCACACAGTCACGCCGCAGTGAGACGGCGTGGGACTGCTTATCGCGAATACCACCCTCTGCATTCATATCTCTCCCCCCCCCCATGGCTTGACTACAAAAACTGCTCATTTAATGCCGCATTCTCACGGTATCTTTTCGATGGCCTCCTGTACGAGACCGAAAGCTACGCCTGATACTCCAGAGATCATTTGTTCATCTTCTTCATAAATAGATACTGTTCGTTGTCATTTAGCCCATGCTAGGAAAGACCGCTCCATCCTTTACAAACGCCTACATTCAATACAAAAGGACAGGCAAATGCTAAATGATGGACAGCCAAGGAAATAAATAGAAGTGAAGTTCATGAAGACCATATGCATAGCTCCGTGGTTTTTTCCGAAATCCAGGATCCTCTACGCGAGGTGTGTACTGCGGGGCCTGAGCGATATGAACGAAATTACCTAACTAGCAGCGCAGATTGCACATATAAACACATTATTCCGCATATCGCCCGCCATGCGATAATTATCCTTTTGTTTAACTTCTGAGACCACTGTTTCGAATGGGGTGGCACTGACGTGATCGACATGGCCAACACCACACAGGCGTGAGAATTCCTTAAGTCTTGGTACTCTAACACGAGCAACACTAACTGTCCTGCCGACCCCGACGCTGACTGTGAGGGTCTGCATTCATAGCTCGCTGACTTGCACCCACCTAAACATATAAAAGTTCCGTGTAAGTGATCAATGGTTCAGTCCTTCAAATTATGGGAGGTTAGGTACAGCTGTCACTTTTAGTAGAACAATTTGTCAAACTTTTTCATGATTTTATGTGCTTGCAGTTTTCGACTGCAGGCAGGGTGTGCTATCGAAACCAGCAATTATCTCCACCCTAGAAAACTTCACCATGGCAGATCGTTGGTTAGGGATGTCCCTGAAGCGTCCTGTTCATGACTAAGAACCTGCAATTTTTCCGATTGTGTCGTCCGAACCGAGCAGCTGAGTTGGCTATATCTTGATATTCCCGAATTCTTTCATTTAAGCAGAATTTGCCCCTCGTTGAATGTCGGCTGACCCTGTAGTCAGGTGGTTATTTTCTTATCTCACTTGGCCTTTGTTGCATTTGGCGACGACATTGAAAGAATGGATTTCCACGTTGGCTTTTATCTTTTTTTCGGGTTGGTCATGCGACTCTGATTTTTCTCAGATGGCGATTTTTGTACTTCGTCGTCGTTGTTGTTGCTGTTGTTGTTGTTGTCGTAGTAGTAGTAGTAGTAGTAGTAGTAGTAGTAGTAGTAGTAGTAGTAGTAGTAGTAGTAGTAGTAGCAGCAGCAGCAGTAGTAGTAGTAGCCATTTAACTAGTTCTGTTTCCCATGGCTTGTGAGTATGAGTATTTCGGTAGCAGCGGTCCTGTTGGTAATCCGTGGTCTCTGCCATTTGTGCCCAGTGTTCGTTCTCGGGATTTCTTCGTGACCCAAATGAACATGCACTTAGTTGGATAGTCTCGATTGCATTCAGTCGTGTCAGTTTCGTCGACCCCCTTTAGTGATTGGATTTGTAGCTTTATTTTAGAGACAACAAGCAACTCTCTCTGCCTTTGTCACGAGCACGTCATGGCGGTCATGCTCCTTGACGAACACGTAGTCCAGCAATTGCTATTGATGAGATTGGAGGTGCATCCATGTTGTCTTCCCACAATTGGGAAGCCGAAACTGGTGTTGGTGACGAGGGGTTTATGTTAGGCAAAGGTCCTCGATAGAATGAGTCTATTACCGTTGCTGTGACCTGCTTCATGACCATCAACTACCACCGTCCGAGTTGGCGTTGTACGTGCCTGTTTCGGGGCATTGAGGTGACTGCGGACAGTTAGTTTGTCCGCCTTTGGCACGTACAGGAGGAGGACGTGCAGACTTTCCCTGGACGTTGTCGCTGCTTATCATTAAAGGGGCATAGTCGCCGACAGTGTTGGCAAATTTTTCCCGGTGGGATGGGACGCGCATTGTTACCGAGCCGCATCACTGCTCAGTCCACCTGTCTCGGACCTCAAACAACTCAAGGGGTCACTCCTCCCCCATCACGAAGTTGCCGCCTCAA